TTCCTAATTAAATGACATTATTCATTAGCCCATGTAAATTTACTGAAGAGTTTTTACGGGTAACGTGTTCTTCAGACATTTTGTATCTCAGTTGATATGGAAATGGACCCCTTCTTCGAGGGGAAATAATCGCTTTCTTCCTTATCTCATTTATGTTTTCTTCTGCATTTATGGCAGTTGGGAAATATTCCATAAATAATTTTTTACACTTCAAGTATTGAAATATGTTAATAATAAAAAAACATAATTTCTACGAAAGAAATTGATTTAATTCGTCGATAAGTTGTTGGTATGTGTCTTATATTATTTTTAACTTTTATTTCCAATTATTATAAACATAATCATAATCATAGCAATATAATCATATATATATATATGTAATATATTTTTTTTATAAAATTAATAAAATAAATTTAATACAGTGCTGTTTTTATTCTCATATTTCAAATTTTTTACATAATTCCTGTTTAAAACATTTATACCTATTTATGAAGAAAATTATTTTAAATAAATAATATTTAATTTTTTTCAACATTTTTTTCTGTGTTGAATTTATTTATATTAATTTGTTTTTATTTTTATGTTTCACTATTCGCAATTGAAATACAAATTTGATACACAAAAAGTTATATTGGTAAACATAAAATTTTCAACGGCAGACAATTGCTTTCCATGTAAGTCTTACAAAATTTAAATTGCAATAAATTAGACCAAACTATTCATAAAATAATTAACACTTTAATTTCGATTGATTTAAAATTAAAACACTTACTAATGTACAAAATAATTAGATGATTTCATTTTTTTGGTTTGTTCTTAAGTTTCACGTTGAAAAATATTAAATACTACTGCGTTTTACCTTTAAAAGCTATATTTTTCATAAAATCATTTAAGATTAAAGAAAAAAATAACTAACAAATTCACTTACTAAACTAAATTAGTTGCAATCTATCTACTATCTCATCTGTACAATTGCAAAACTAATAAACACATTTAAAGAGTATCAAAATCACTTGTCCATTGCGTATACGTAACTTTCTGCCTTCACATCCGAAACATCTTTCATATATACTTTGTAAAAATGTTCTTACTTACTTCCTACCTACTTATCACTTGTCACAGCATCACATCTTTCCTGTAATGGCTAAGATATTTAATATTGCAATCGACATTCTCGGATTGAATAAAAATTGTATATTTTAGATACGTTTTGTATATTGTTAAGTATGTAGTGTAAACCATATATAAATATTTATAAGTCGTTGTAAACGTCTCGTGAAAATTAAAAATTGTGCTGTAACAGTCTTTATTTTTATTATAATAAATAGATATTTTATAATACAAAAAAAAAAAACAAAAAAAATAATAATACCAACAAAGTTATTGCAAAAGCATGTTATCTTATAGATAGCGCTCAAAGAAAGAGGATTAGATATGACCCTTCTAATATGAAAACCAGTTGGCAGTTAATTAAAAAAAAATTCTACCTGGTAGTCCTTCTAGTTATCTGCGAAAATATAAACTTTGTAAAATAGTACCTTTTCAAACTTTTGTAAATAAATCTTTCATGTTTTTTTTTATATACAAAAAAATGTAAATCGAAAAATAAATCTATATATATTTTATTCCACCACATTCCATTGTCTGTTCTTCTTACTTTTTTCTTTTACAGCGGCATTTGGATTACTATTTTTCGTATGGATTCCTCAAGTCTCAGCCGAATGTCAAAGTATGAATCCATGCTTTATTTTCAATATGCCAAATATTTTTTTATGAAATCATATTTTAAATATTTTCCAAAAATTTTATTATTTGTGTTTAAATTATATGCAAAAAAAAACAATTAACCAACACACTATAAAAATATTAAACAATATTTTTACTAAATGTTTTAATCAAATTTTATTTTAAATATTTTTTTTAAGATTTGTTGTTTTTATCTTTAAAAAGAAATCTACTAAAAAATATTAAGAACAGCTTCAGTTTGCAAGTGTATCCTTTAAACAATGTATACACAAAATACAAATAAAAAGGTTGCAATTTTCTAAAAAATTTTCTAAGACACGAGAAGACTGAGTTCAAGTCCCGTCTTAAGTCTGGTCTAAAAAGGCACATAAAAAGAACACTTAAAAATGCTTGGTGGCTCCGTTTCAGGAATGAAGCGTGAAGTACTTTTTAGAAAGCAAGGTTTAGTTGCATTTGATATCACTAGGCACGAAGAGTCTGAGTTCAAGTCCCGACTTAAGTCTGGTCTAAAAAGACGCTTAAAAAGAACACTTAAAAATGCTTGGTAGCTTCGTTTCAGGAATGAAACGTGAAACACTTTTAAGAAAGAAAGGTTTAGCTGTATTTAATATCACTAGGCACGAAAAGTCTGAGTTCAAGTCCCGATTTAAGTCTGGTCTAAAAAGACGCATAAAAAGAACACTTAAAAAATGCTTGGTGGCTCCGTTTCAGGAATGATGCGGAAAGCACTTTTAGAAAGCAAGGTTTAGCTGCATTTGATATCACTAGGCACGAAGAATCTGAGTTCAATTCCCGATTTAAGTTTGGTCTCAAAAAGACGCTTAAAAAGAATACTTAAAAATGCTTGGTGGCTCCGTTTCAGGAATGAAGCGTAAAACACTTTTTCGTTTCGTAAAAAAGCTAAAGAAAGGTTTAGCTGAATTTGATATCACTAGGGATTAATAGATTTATGTGTGACTTACCTAGCCCATTGAAATTTTTCATTGTATTTAAAAACATTTTAAAATTTCTTATCGAAAAATTCAACACTCTTTTTTTAATTTTAAAAGAACAAAAAATTAGAAGTTTTTGAGGTGATATTTGAAGTTTCCATGTCCCATAAACAATGAGGTCAGCCAGCTTAGGGTGCTCCGTGAATAGCTAAGTACTTTTATCGATCCCCTGGCCAACGGTTTTGGCATCATGAGTTTAGTCTGTCTACAAGTGCTCATCTCTCTCCATCTATTAAGATGAATTATCCACTTATCAACATAGGCTGCAGTCATGTTGTAGCCCAATAGTATTCTGGGCTCTGGGCCACACAAGTTATGGCTTGATCCTTGCTTTGCAAATTTATCTGCCTCTTCGTTTTGCTTAATACCGATATGGCGTTTAATCCACTTGACTATTACTTCATTTTCATGAGTACATTATTGTAGTAAACATATACTCAATACTTAGTAAGTTATATTCAGTACTTTTTTGTTAAAGGGAAAAAATTTGAAAGATATTCGTATACCGATTTTTATAAAATTTGTGATAAATTTTGTTTATGAATAAACGATCTGAGTTAAAAAAAAACTCTTTTACATATAGTGTATAAGCTGCGTTGACTTTGAGCTTCAAATTTGGCAGGACACGAGTTCGATTACTGGTACTTGCAGTCTCAAAAAATTATTTACTAATAGTTAACATAAATATAAAAAATAATTCCAAGACCACTGATGATGGGTATTTGGTAATACTCGAAACAGTTGACATGTATAGTCAGCCAAAAATTCAATTAATTAAAATAATATAAGAATGAATTTTTGTTGTTGTAGTTCAGTTCTTTTTGAAAAAACCTCTTTATAGTATATATATTTACCATTATCTGTTCTGTGACACACTTTATAACTATATGTAGTATATATTACACACCATGCAAGAGTAGTTTTAAGTAAAGAAGTAAAACCTAGTAAGCTTTGATTGATCCATTGTATGCCTTTTCAATTTTCGAGTAAAGTTAAGATCACAAGGTAATGAAAAAATTATTTACTCTATAATGTCCGTAGAAATCTTTAATTGGGTCTTTAAAAAATTAAAATTAAATATTTTGAGTCGGAAAAATATGAGACATCCTTTTTATTAAATTACGTTAAACGAGTTTTAATACTGAAAACTTAGAGAGAACTTATAAATTTTATATAAAAATGTTGGAAGAAGAATTGCAACCTTTTTAAAAGTTTTATTTTGCTGTGTTATATATTTTTTATTTGTTTTCAATTAAGCGCTTAACACAAAAGCATCATCCAGAACACCTACACAATTCTTGGCAAATATCCTAAATATCCTTAAACATTTTGAATATGGAAAAAGGACAAACTTACCTTTTACACTTCTTTGTGCAGCTGTTTTGAGTTTGATAGAGAAATTGTGCATATTAATATATATAATCGTAATAAGAACTTATTTTCTCTAATTTTACTCTAAATGTGTAAAATTTGTAAACATTTTTGGGACTTAAATAATAAAAATATAAAAAAATATATATTATAATAAATTTATATTTTTTTAACGATTCGGATTTATTTTGTGTGGTACGAAAATGTGGAATGTCGATGTAAAAATGTGTAATAGCAAAATCCATATCACCACTTAGAGAAAACGCTTAAGTAATGACTATAATGTGCCTTGAGACATCGAAGGTGGCCAAACAAACAATAGATAATAAATGTTAAAAGCAGTGTTATGCTATTTATATAAAATACCATATATTGTATATATATAACAAATAATAATATTTCGTGATATGTCTAATAAAACCTTAGTTGCACATTTAGTACTGAAATTGTGTATGAGATTTATCACTGCACGTTTGAGTGATTGAAAGTGCACTTCTTATCAAATGCAAATGACACTGTTTTATAATTAGAATTTTCATTGTAAATTTCATTAAAGCATATTAATTGTATATTATTTATTGTATATATAAGAAGTATTTGTTAGCTTAAATAATTTTTTATTTTATAATTATATTAATTAAACTGAGATACTTTTTTTGCATAAAGTTTTTGAATCATGAATAATTTTCTTATAATATTTTTCTCTTATGATTTATTTCATATTTTATATTATTTATTAACAACAATTAATTAAGTATTTTCATGAGTTATTCTATATTAATTACA